CTTGACTTAATGGCCCGTGAGCCTGTCTTAATTCAGTTGGATATTCAAATCGGGTGATTCCATTGGTCGGACGGGAGTTAGGTTGCATTTTAAGCTGACTGGACCGAATTACGGTCCTTGGTCGATTCTTGGAATTTCTCCTTCTTATTTCGTCCATTTCTTTCCTTTCTTTCTTTTCTTTTTTTTTTCCTTTTCTCTTTGTTCTCCGCCACGTTCCATCTTTCAGAATCGTTTTATCTGATCGGCCGCCCCCGGCTATTCATCTTCGAGCAACCGTGCTGCTCGTCCGGGGATAAAATTGGAATTATGCTAAAATAAAACTCCCTTGGACCCTTTGGAAAGGTGATTAGTAACTAACCGATAAAGCGTCACCTGTTTGATCGATGGCTCGACAACGGGAGAGATATCGAATTTAACGGGTATCAATTTTTCTTGTCGTATGTGAATGCCTGTTTATCGATTCGTGTATTTGGAATTTTGTAGATATCTCTCGTGTCGAAGGTGTATTAACTTTAAATAAATTTAGTTGTTTCGATGAATGACGAAAATTATACGAATTTTATTTTGGAAGAATATTTTATTGGAAGATTTAATTATTGGAAATTATTATTCAAGTATGTTTTAATGATTAGGAGCGCCATCTCTTTTTTTCATAGATAACTACATACGTCGAGAAGATGTTAAAATTTTAATTGGCAAGATTTAAGTTGTATATAAAAATATTGTAATTATGATTATTTTCTTTTGTTAAATAATCGACTTGGTAAACTTTGTGGAGTCTGGCAATTAGATATTTCAGACATCGACTGCTCTAGTTACCAAAATTTCGGTAACAATTGTGATTGAGGATACTATAATTTAATGTCCTTAGGCTAACTGACAAGCTTTGCTCTATATTCCCAAGCTAGCATTCCTTTGCATAATTAATTTGTACGATTGCTTTGATATACAACGATAATTTCATCACTGTTGTTAAGTTTATGTTTGCATTCTATTATAATGAATTCTATTATAAGATCTATAATTCTATTTACTTGTAATTCATTATACGTATATATCGATTTCTGGAAATTCTTTTAATTTAATTTTTATAAATTTTTGACGCCCTTTTTATAATCATATATATATATATATATA